GGTTTAAGGTGCTGGACTCCCACATGGTCAACTGTGGTTCAAGTCCCAGACTTGGTGGCTTGCCGTCTCACTCTCCCTCTGTCTCTCTCTGGTCAAATTGAAAAATAATAATAAATTAATTAAAAAAAAAAAAAGAAGCAGTGGTAGGTAAGGGTGGTCCATCCTGTGTAGTGATACAGTGATGAAAGGAGAGGGAGTAATGATGTATAATAAATAATTTTTTTTTGGAGAGGTTTTTGCTACAGGGCGTATGTGCTCGCCAGACAGAGAGACAAAGCAAGAAATCACCCCCCAGGTGGGATGGTCACACCGCAATACCTTCTCCTCCATTCTCCTCTTGGGATCTTGGGCACGCACGCACACATGCCCAGCCTGAGTTTTAAGCCACCAGGTCCAGGACACAAACCGCGGTTAACTACATGGGAGTCCAGTGGCATAGCCATTACGCTAACTGCTGGTTCCCAATAAATAATTTTTTTAAAGAGATTATTGCCATAGGGTACATGTGCTTGCTGGAGAGCCAGAGAAAGCAAGAAATCACCCTCCAGGGCGATGGCCACGCCACAGTCCCTTCTTCATTCTCCCTTTGGGACTTTGGGAACACACTCATGTACCTGGCATGAGTTTCAAGCCCCAGAGCTGGGACTCGAACCATGGTGTACCATGTTGGAGTCTAGTGCCTTAATCACCAAGTCATCTGCTGGCCTATATAATAAAGAATTTGACCTTGCCAAAGAGAAGACAGGCCTTTGCCCTTCACTTCTGGAGGCAATCCAGGTAGTACTGTAAGAGTGTCTTGTTTATTTGGGACAGGAGCTAGCCCCACAACACCTGAGGGTAGGATCTCCATGCTAAAATAAACCACCATGTGATGTAGAGGAAGGGGCTTTGGGTGCCTGGCATCAGACCACCTGGCGACTTATATCAGTTACTTAGGCAGTCCATCAGTCAGTCATACCTACGGAATGAAACCCCAGTAAAAACCTGAACACTGAGGCACAGGCAGGCTTGTCTGGTTGGCATATTGCCATGCACGAACAATGGGCAAGTGATGAGTTCCTGCTCCAGGGGCAGAGGACCCCAGAAGCTAAGCTCTGAAACCCTTCTGGACTTCAACTTATGCCTTTTCCCTTAGGAGACATAATTTGTATCCTTTTCTTGTAATAAACTGTAACCAAGAGAGTATGAGAGCTTCTATTGAAAAAAAAAATAAAAAAAAAAAAAGGCAAGGGGCCAGCAGATGGCGTGGTGGCTAAGATGCTGGACATTCCCACATGGTCCACCATGGTTGGGGTCCTGGACCTGGTGACTTGCTTTCTCACTCCCCCCCGCTCCGTGTCCCTCTCTGTTCAAATTAAAATAAATTAAAAAGGGAAAAGAAAGAAACATGGCAGAATACATACTAGTGTGGCAGGTTAAGACAGGGTGAAAGGGAGAGGAGGAAGCTAGAAAACGGAACTCAAGGGCCACCAAGTGGCATCGTGGTTGAGGCACTGGACTCCCACATGGCAGATCACAGTTCAAGTTCTGGATCTAGTGGCTTGCTTTCTCACCTTCTCTCTCTCTCTGTCCCCCCACTGGCCAAATTAAAATAAACAATTAAACAGAATAAACAATTATTACGAACAAAACAAAACAACTCAAGAGCAAAAAACTGGGGAACAGCAGATGGCATAATGGGTAATGGTTATGGCACAGGACTCTCATGTAGTCAACTGCAGTTCAAGTCCCAGACCTGGCAGCTTAGACTCATGCTGGGTGCATGTGTGTGCATGCCCAAAATCCTGAGAGGAGAATGGAGGGGAAGGGACTGCGGTGTGGCCATCTCCCTTGGTGGGGGGTGAAGGGGTGATTTTTTGCTTTCCATTTCTCTGTCTCTGTCTTTCCGATGAATGCACATGCCCTATAGCAAAAACTCTCTAAAATACAAACAAACAAAAAACTGAGGCACCACAAGATGACAAGGTCAAACATTCTGGAAGTGGCAGAGCCTGGGTCTGAATCCAGGTCTCTCTGCCTCCTTGTCCTTGGCACTTTCCATTGTTCTTCTCATCTGACTCAAGAATTAACTGAGGCTGAACGAATGACTTGATCATGGTCACACAATGACCAGTGGCAGGGGCCAGCAGGTGGCATGGAGGTGCTATACTCCCACATGAGCAACTGCAGTTGGAGTCCTGGACCTGGTGGCTGGCTTTCCCACTTTCTCTCTTTGGTGAGTGCACATGCCCTATAGCAAATTAAAAATAATAATAGGTCCAGCAGGTGGCATCGTGGTTAAGGCACTGGACCATGAGTGACCATGGTTAAATTCATGGACCCAGTGGTCTGAGACTAATGCCAGTTGCATGCATGTGTGTGCCAAAAATCCTGAGAGGAGTCTGGAGAAGGGATTACAGTGTGGCTATCTGCCCTGGGGGGGTGATTTCTCTCTCTCTTTCTGTCTCTTTGTCTCTCTGGCAAGCATACATGCCCTATAGGAAAAAGATAGCTCTCCCCCAAAATAAATCATTTAAAAAAAAACAACAAAAACCAGCAGATGGCACAATGGTTACATCATTGGACTCCCACATGGCCGACCATCAAGTCCTAGATCCAATGGCTAGAAACTCACGCCAGGCATGTTTGCATGCAAGCCCAAAATACCAAAAGAATGAAGGAGAAGGGATTGAGGTGTTGGCCATCCCCCGGGGAGGTGATTTCACTTTCTTTCTGTCTCTTCAGCAGGGACATGTGCCCTAGAGCAAGTTCTCTCCCCCAAATAAAACAAACCCCAAAACCAATAAATTAAAAAAACTTCAAGCTTCACCACACTGCTGTGAGAAAAAGCATTTCTCAAATTCTAATTAAAGGTTGTAGATATATGTTTACTGAATATTCATGATGTGTTAAAATAATGAGCCAAGTGCTTTTCTTTTCCCCCCGCAAGATTTTTGTCATAGGGTATGTATGCTAGCCAGAGAGTAGGAAAATGAGAAATCATTTTCATTCTGCAATCTCTCCTCTTGCGATTTTGGGCATGTGTACATGCATGCCAGGTGTTTTTTTTAAGTTACCGGGTTTGGACTCAAATTGTGGTGCTACATGTGGGAACCAGGGTCTTAGCCACCATACCACCTGTAGGCCCCCAAGTGCTTTTCATACCACATCCTCTATCCTCCCAACCATTCTATGAGGTGCATCATGATACACATTTTTTGTTTTTAATTTTGTCAGAGGGCACACGTGCTCACCAGAGACTGGAAAAGTTAGAACATACCCTCTGCCCCGCTCCACCCCCAGGGAGTCAGCCACACAGCACTCCCTTCTCTTCTATTCTCCTGTCAGGATTCTGGGCGCACACACGTGTCTAGTGTATTTTTCTATTCTTTTCTTATTATTATTCAATTTGACAAGAGACAGAGAGAATAAGAAAGTAAGCTGCCAGGTCTGGGACTCAAACTGCAGTCAACCATGTGGGAATCCAGCATCATTTTTTTTTTTTTGAGAGGTTTTTGGTATAGGTCGCATGCGCTCACCAGACAGACAGAGAGAGTCAGAGAGACAGAAAGGGAGAAATCACCCCCTGGGGGGATGGCCACGCCGCAATCCCTTCTGGTTAAAGGTGCTGGACTCCTACATGACTAACTGTGATTTGAGTCCCGGACCTAGTAGCTTACTTTCTCACTTTCCCTTTCTCTTTTCTCTCTCATTCTTTGGTCAAATTAAAAAATAATGATAAAGTTGAATAAAATAATTCCTTTTAAAAAAAGGGAGAGATTTTTGGTATAGGGAGCGTGTGCTTGTCAGAGACAGAGAAGACAGAAAGTGTAAAATCACCCCCCAGAGAGGAAGACCTCGCTGCAATCCCTTCTTCTCCATTCTCCTTTCAGGATTTGGGGCACGAACACAGACACACCTGGTGTAAGTTTTAAGCCACCGTGTCCAGGACTCCAATCCTAGTTGACTACGTGAGAGTCCAGCGATGTAACGATTACACCATCTGCTGGTGCCTCCAGTGTTTTTCAAGCTGCTGGGTCCAAGACTCAAATCACACTATCGGCCATGTGGGATTCAGCAGCCTTAACCACCATGTTAGCAGCTGGCCCCATTTTTCTGATAAGAAAATTAAGGCCCGCATAGGAAAAAAATCATTTGCTGTTCCCTCTGGTTTAAACAGGTAGCTGGTTCCTGCATTTTATTCAGGTCTGTTCACTGCTGCCTCTACAGATAGGACCTGATTACTCCACCTAATATAATCCCTCTTCCCAGTACTCCATACTCTTACCTGGTTATATTTTTCCTTGTAGAACTCGTCATTTATGACACACACTTATGTGCTTGCTGTGGGCTTCCCTGCCGACTGTGTAAGTTCCCCGAGTACAGGGACCATGCTTCAGTCATTACTGGGTCCCTGGAAGCTGAAACAGTGCCTGACGTGGGCGGATGCTCTAATTATATATAATAATTATAAAAACTAAGAGTGTCCTTTGTGCAAGGTGCTGTACTAAGCACTTCCCAGGCATTAAGTCAATGAATCTTTTTTTTTAAAGATTTAATTTTATTTATTCATTCATTTATTTTACTCTGGCCAGAGAGAAACAGAGAGTGAGAGAAAGGGAAAGTGAGAAAGCAAGTCATCAGGTCCAGGACTCCAACCGTGGTTGGCCATGTGGGAGTGTCTGGAGCCTTAACCACCACACCACCTACTGGTCCCCAAGTCACTGAATCTTTGTAACCACCATTATTGCCACTGTATGGATAAGACAAAGTCTCTCACTGAAGGTCACCTAGCTGCTGAGAGGCAGACTTGGGATATAGATCCAGGCGACCTGGATCCCAAGTATATACTCACAACTATTGCACTGTATGTTTGGGATACAATGAGACAGCCACGCCTCGAAGTTTTAAGATGCCCACATCCCAGCCTTCTAAGAAAACTTCTCTTCACGCTCCTCAGACTGGAGCCGGGTTACTTTTCTAGACCCGGAGAGAATGTGTCTCAAGACCCAGGTGCTCACCTGTCGAAGGCCTTCACCCGGCCCAGGAGTTTCTTGTTGTTGCGGCAGTTGATGAGTACTTGGGTGTTGTTCTTGACTGACTGCGTGAGCACAGAGAGTGGACCCGTGTTAAATTCCTCCTCCTCCCGCTTCTGCAGCTCCTCTGGAGTCATCTCACTCTTGGGCTTGTTGAGGAGGCTCCTGAAAGGGCAAGTGTGGAACCCAGAGGTGAGGGGCTGGAGCTGGAGCATGGGTGGTCATGGCTTTGCCTTCAGTTTCCCCAGCCTTGCCCCAACACTTCCACCCTCCTGCTCAGTCTTTCTCTTGGCATTAGCACCTGGATGCCTTTTAGATATTTCCAGGTTAAACTCCAGATCACCCAACCACCCCATCCGTATTCTGTCCATAACATTCCCAATTGTCAGCAGTAACCCCATTTTTAAAAAATAATTATTTTATTTAACTTTATTTATTTTGATCAGAGAGGGACAGAGTGAGAGCGAGCAAGTGAGAGAGAGAGAGAGAGAAGGCAAGCTGCCAGGTCCAGGATTCAATCCATGGTCAGCCATGTGGGAGTCCAGCGCCCTTAACCACCACGCCACCTGCTGGCCCCAGTAACTCCATTCTTTCAGGTCTTTGGGCAAAATTCCAGATGTCAACTTGACTCCTCTAACATCCTACCTCAAACCCACTGGCAGTCCCATCACTTGCCTCTAAAATATCCAGAATCTGACGATTTCTTACCATACCCCAAGCCTCTGTCATCTTTCTCCTGGGCTCTTACCGATCTCCCTACCCCCAGTATGCTCCCTGACAGTCTTTACTCCACAGAGAAGTCCCAAATGTTGTGCTAAAACCTAAACCATATCATGCCATTCTTCTAAATCCTCCCATGGCTCCTATGTCAGTGCAAAAATTAAAATCCGATGGCCCACATATGCCCCTCTTTCTGTCCCAGCCACAGTGGCCTTCTGGGGGCTCCTTCAGACCTCTACATTTCATTTTCCCCCTGCATGGGACCCCACCCAAGATATGTGTCCTTTGCTCCCTCACTTTCAAGTCTTTGCTCAAGTGTTGCCTTCTCAATGTGTCCTTCTGTGATAATTATTCCCCTTTTGGGACCAGCAGATGGTGTAGAGGTTACATTGCTGGCCTCCCATGTAGTTGACTGTGGTTCAAGTCCCAGACCAGGAGACTTGAAACTCACACCGGGCGCCTGTGCGTGCATGCCCAAAATCGAGAGAGAATGGAGAAGGGATTGCCATGTGGCCATCCCCCTTGATGGGGTGATTTCTCACTGTCTCTGTCTCTCTGGTGAGCACACACGCCCTACAGCAAAAATCTCTCTCTCAAAAAACAAAAACAAAAAGCAGTTATTCTCCTTTGTTTTTACCCTGTTCAACCGTTTTATCCACAGGCCTGATCACTTAATACGCCATACATTTTACTTGTTTATTATTCTATGTATTACCTGCCTCCCCCCCCCATAAAATGCCGTAGAGAATTATTTTCCTGGTAGAAAAAAGTGTATTCACGAACACTCAATGTCTTATTTAATTAATAAGGAAATACGTAAAATCATTCCTGACTCGTTATCCATAAAAGTCGCAAGTCAGATTGAAATGCCACCTGTCTCCAGCTTAAATTATCCGGTTAAGTCCTTTCTCTCAAATCGTTGTTCCCAAAATTTCTCATTACCCTCCTCCACATTCTTTACTCGTAAAATTGTTTCCTCCTCAAATTCACTTCAACTAGGCTAATCGTCTCGGACAGCCCCCAGTCCGTTATCTGATAAAGCCATCTTCTCTCCCCAATTTAGAGGCCATCAAAGGCCTCACGACTGTCCTCAAACTTATCAGGAGAAAAATTACATCACTGTATTTCTAAAATCTCTGAATCCGCTTCCAGATCTTCCCATCTCCGTTAACCCGCCAAATTTACACCCTCAACCCCACTCCCGCCAATGAAGTCCAGCCCGGGCTCACATGGTGGCAACGGCACTCTCAACTCACTCCCGTCTCCTCCGCGTTGCTTCAGCCTCTAAGGAGAGCTAGAGAGAGGCGGGACTTCCGTTTCCTGTGGGCCACTTCCGGGGCGCCTGCGCAAACCCAACGAGTGAATGGGGGCGTGGCCTGTTGCCCCAGCGATCCCCGCCAGCCCGACGCAGTGATGGGGTAAAAGCTCCAAGTAGAGGTTGGGAGCTACTCAGGACCATACAGGGCAGAGGTTCACGACAATGGAGAGGAAAATAAAGAGGGTCCGACTCGAACCATTTCACTATAGAACGTGTGTATAGTTTGAAAGAAGGAAACGACAGGCCATTTCCAAATACCCGCCGGCCCTGTCTTCTGGGGCGCGGCCTCTGCGAAGCCAATCCGTTCCTCGTCTCAGGGATGGCACTGCCCCTTTTCCTTCAGGGACCCTTCACTGACGTGTGTATTGATCTTTCCGACCCGGTGCAACCAATCTCTGGCCTCTATCGGAGAGGGGCGGGGACTGCGCCGGAGAGGTTGACTGTTGTCCACGTTCAAACGCTGCTCATTGGCTGTCCGGATCCGCTGAGGCGGAGCCTACCCCTTCGGCGCTCCCCTTTGGGTTGTGCAACGCTCTAGGGAACCAACCCCAATACCCGAGGGAGGCAGGGAGGCGTGTCCTCCGAATGACAGCTCCGATTGGTTTTCCTGCTCTCTGGGGTGGGATGGTGCCGCCGCTCTTGTTGCTCATTGGTCCCGTGTTTCCATGGGGTGGAACTTGGCTGGAGCTGAATACAATCTGCGGTCTCCGACCGGTTTCAGGGCAAAGCTGCCATGCGTTCCGCGGGCCGCGGGCGGCCCCGGCCACGGCTCGGTGAACGTGGCCTCCTAGAGCCACCCTTACTGCCCAAACGCCGCCTGCTACCGCGGGTGCAGCTGTTGCCCCTGCTGCTGGCGCTGGCCGTAGGCTCGGCGTTCTAAACCATTTTGAGCGGCTGGG